AAAATTCCTAAATCTGTATATTCAGTTCTGGTCTCCTTCCTCAGACTGAGATTTCCAATTGTCAGCTGAAAATCCTCACTCACACGCCCAGTGGTTTCCTGAAATTCAACACATCTGAAGCGAACTCCTTCATTTCTCTCTGAGAACAGCAGATCCTCCTCATGTTTTTCCCATTGTGCTGAGTAACTCCGTGATCTACCGTGTCACCCCAGACACAAGTTTGGGTGTGTTTTTTACCTTCTTCATTATTTCTAGAGCTACACTGGCCAATACAGTGGTTACTAGTCACATACAACTACTTAGATTTCAATTTAGATTCATTAATGTAAAGTTTTCTGGGGGCAAAAGAAGCAGGCAGAGAAAGAGTGGGGCCAAACTGTGTGGCTTTATTGAGCGCTCCTGGACGGGGTTCGAGGGTCCCAAGAGAGGGGGGCCCAAGAAGTCGTGTCTGTTTGAAAAGGGGGAAAGGCTTTTAATACCATTTTAAGTGGGCTGAGGACTTTTGGCAGGAAGAGCTGGGGTGACCTTGGGTGGTCATTGAGAAACAGGAGGGGCTGGCGGTATTCAGGAACTTGCGGAATCCAGGAACCAAAAACTTTCTTATCTGGGTGGACATCCAGGTGGTGGTGTTTTTAGCAGGGCCTGGCAGTTGTCCTTGGCAGATCTGGTCTTATGAGCCTTTTCTTTTTGATGAGGGGAGGGGGGCCCGCCACCAGCCTTACAGTTAACATCAAATATAATTTAAAATTCCGTTCCTTGGGTACAGTTGGCATGTCGCAAGTTCGCAGTAGCCTCATGTGGCCACCATGGCGGACAGCAGTGCAGCAGGACATTTCCGTGTCTCGGGAACTCTGTGGGACAGGGCTGGCCTAGGGTGCGTTTCCCCGCCTTTATTCCTGCCTTGCCAACTATGTGTGAGCCCTCATGGTTTCTCACCCGAGCCACCGGTGAAGCTCACCAACGTTTTCTTCCTCCACTTCAGTCTGTTGTCTTCTCTCATCAAAGGATTTTAACAAAACCCTCAAAAAACCAGAGAGAAACAGTTCCGGCCTTTTGATGTCATTTCCTTACTTGAACCCTTCAGAGTCTCCCCATTGCCTTTTCTTCTGTATTTGATTGTCGGATGATGACATTTCAACCCTCGGGGTCGGGATCACATTCCAGTGCTGCCTACCCGGGAATGGCAGCGCCGAGGTTTCTTCTTCTGGGCTTTGACACCCCTTGTTGGTGCCCTTTTTCATCACATTTCCCATCGTGATGTTTAGTACTTAGGTGGTGACTTTAGGAGAAATGAGGAAGTGGCTGCTCAGGTCTTGTGCTGTTGTTGAGGCACCTGAGATTCTTGGCTATCCCTTGGCTCCAAAATACATGTTTTGTAGGGAGAAACATATCTGCTTTAATAAAAATATACCTTCAGCTGGGCGTGGTGCTGCTCCCCTGCAATCCCAGCGACTCTGGAGGCTGACGTGGGAGGCTCCCAGGAGTTCCAGGCCAACAAAGCGAGATTCTGTCTCTTAAAAAAAATTCTTCAGCTTCTTGCACGGTGGCAGTATCCTAGCCAATGAGGTTTATCCAAGGTGCGATTCTTGCTAACTGAAAACTTTTCCCAATACCCCGCCATGACGACTTGAAATATTGTCAGCGTTGGCAATTTTTGACAGTCTCTACGGAGGCTGAATGAAAAAAAAAAATTCTTCGGTGAAAGAGAGGTATTTTAGTTAATTACCACAAACGGGTGGCTTAAAACAACAGGAATTTATTCCCTCACAGTTCTGGAGTCCAGGAGTCCAAACTCCAAGGGGCCAGCAGGGCCACAGTCCCTCAAGAGACTCCAGCAGAGAATCCTTCCTTGCCCCTTCCCGCTGCTGGTGGCTCCTGGTGTTCTTTGACTTGTGTCCTTTCTCTGCTTCCCTCTCCATTTGCCCTTCCTGTGTGTCTGTCTCCCCCTCTCCTTTCTCTTCCAAGGACACCACCCTTACAAGAGATAGAAGATACTGGATCTAGGACCCACTATAAATCTAAGATGATCTCACCTTGAGATTGTTAATTTAATTACATCTACAAAGACCCTGTTTTGAAATAAGATCACATTCGCGGGTTCTGGGGATGAGAGTTTGGCCGGGCCTTTTGGGAGGGACACAATCCAACCCTCTACCATGGCTGAGAATAGAAGTGAGAACCCTGGTAGCTACGCTTCTGCCCCTCTCTAAGCCATGCCTGAGTGGAAGCAGCAGGTTGGCTGCAGTCTTCAATTCTGGGCATTTATTCATGTAAAAGTTACTTAAGATCCTCACCCCCAAATCAAGAGCAGGGACAAGGCCGTTTAACTCAACCAGCTGTCTTTGTTTCCGGGACAGGCTGACTCCCTTCTTCTGGGCTTTTTTTCCCCCACTGGCTAGCAACAATCATTAAATAATAAAGCATGGCCCAGAATAAACACATGTTTCATCCTTTAGTTTTCAAAGACATTCTCTGGGTCTGAAGCTTTTAAAATGAAAATGGATATTTAGATTTAGCAATTATTTTAAGCGTATGTAGGCACACACATACGCACCATGGAAAAATGACTAGAAATAACTGTCTCTGTATAGTAAGAAAGAACATAAGTACTTTTACTGTTTTTATTTTTTAGTATCATCTAAATGTTCCACAATGAGCACATTTTACTTTTGTGATCGGAAGAAGAAACCTCTTTAACACAGGTGGTTTTAATTGAAGTCTTTATAAATTGCCCAGGACAATTTTTATTTTTAAATGAGCAAGATGAGTAGGCCAGTTAGGATTCTAGGAAGAGACCACTGATTGTTTTGTGTACAGTTCAGATACAAGTGAGGTTTGAGAGTGGTGTTAACATTGTTAATTATTGAGGACCTCATCAGACTTTCACAGCACTGGAAATTGAAACCTGTGGTCTCTCCAGGGAGGTCCCCTCCTCCCCGGTGCCTGATGGGTAAATGGGCCACGTGGCATAATAAACACCCCCATACCCACTGTTGGTCTGTTGGCGACCATTCCAGACAGAGCCCTGTAATCTCTCACCAGCAATACATTTGTCGTCAATAAGCATGCGTTTCCCTAGTCCTTAAACTATTTGGAGGTCAGCTCGGTGTCTGGCATGTTAGGATGATGGCACACTCGTCCATCAACTCCAGTTACTGGAACCTTCAGCAGAGCATTAGGCACTTCTGAGCTGTTCTACTATTGAATGCAATTTGCTCCAAGGGAATTTTCCTATTTTGGCTTCTAATATGTCGATGAATTATTGAAATTTCAATTACTTTTGGTTCCTAAGTTAGAAGGATGCAGACATCCCAGACATTTAATATGAAAAGCTTTCCAGAGGCTTTTAGAGAAGGGGCCACGTGCCTGTTCTCCGCCCTTGTCTAGAAGGGTTTTGGCGGCAGGGCAGGCACAGAGGTATGGCTCCACTCTTCCTCCTGTTTATGGGACTAACGTGCTTTGTGGCCTTGGGAGTCCCTCAGGTCAGTGCCACTCAAGGTGTGTGGTCTCTTGTCCAGCAGCATCAGCATCTTTTGGGAGCTTATCAGACATGCAGATCCTGGGCTTCATCCAGACCTGCTAAATCAAAATCCCTGGGGTAGTAGGGCCTTGGAATCTGTCTGTTAACAAGCCCTCCAGGGGATTCTAGTACTCCGCTAGGTTTGGAAAGCCCTGCCTGAAATGTCCCAGTGCTAATTCAGCAGGGTCTGATGCCCATCTGGGCTCTGTGGTCAGTCTGCCCTTTCAGGCAGACACTGCACCCTGATGATAAACTGTGATCCAGGTTGTCAGAAAGACCCATTTCTAGCAACTATCTTCACTTACTTGGAACACTTCTTCTCTTTGAAAGTCACAGAAGCAGGGTTTTGACATTTAAATTCTGTGTAGGTAAATGTGTGTTTTCAGTGGAATTCAAAGGGCCCTGTGTTTCTTTTGTATACAGAAGGGCTGTTTAGATTCCTTCCCACCGTCTGGGGGATAATTCCATCTTTCAGTCACTTGGCAAGAAACTGCTGGTGCCATTGCTGTCTCTTCACCTTAGCCTAAGCCCCTCCCAGCTCAGACGTCCCCTCTGAACCACACAGACTGGCCAACCTGCAGTTCTTTAGACACAGCCGGTCGTCCTTGTGCAAGCTGCTCGCCCCCCAGCCGTGCCACCACCAGAGCCAGCCCCTCACTTGCTCTCCTTTCACACTCTGCTCAAGTACCACCGCCCTCTAAGCTTTCTCTGATGACTTCAGATGGACTCCTCCCCTTTTCTGCTTCTCGTAGCCCTTCAGATAGATGTTTCTAGCACTTAAGTACACTTGTGTTGAAGTTGCTTGTCTCTCTACTTCTTGGGAGAGGAGAGATTTTATCCAGGTTTCTGCAGTACCCAGCACAGATTCAGGCACTTAGAGCTGAATAAATAAACATTCCTTAAAGACGGTCATCTGTCTTCTGCTAGAAACTTCCTTTGCCTTAGATAACATGTTCACCTCATGCTTGTGGGAGAAGAAATGATGATCTCTGGCAGGTCCGGTTAAAAATACAGTGACTTGGCTGGGCGAGGTGGCTCATGCCCGTAATCCTACCACTCTGGGAGGCCGAAGCGGGCAGATCGCTCAAGGTCAGGAGTTTGAGACCACCCTGAGCAAGAGTGAGACCCCATCTCTACTAAAAATAGAAAGAAATTTCACTGGCCAACTAAAAGTATATAGAAAAAATCAGCCGAGCATGGTGGCACATGCCTGTGGTCCTACTTACTCAGGAGGCTGAGGCAGGAGGATTGCTTGAATCCAGGAGTTAGAGGTTGCTGTGAGCTAGGCTGATGCCATGGCACTCATTCTAGCCTGGGCAGCAGAGTGAGACTCTGTCTCAAAAAAGAAAAAAAAAAATACAGTGACTTCTATGTGGATGCCCCTGATCTGGCTTTTCAGTGGGACTAATCCCTTCATGTAAACAAAAGCCCGACCGTCTATGCATCTGGCTCATCGTGTCTGAAAACATTATGATTTCAGGTTCGAGAGCTTCAGACTCGACTGCAGAGTGTTCAGGCCACAGGTCCCTCCAGCCCTGGCCGCCTCACGTCCACCAACCGCCCGATTAACCCCAGCACCGGAGAGCTGAGCACGAGCAGCAGCAGCAATGACATTCCCATCGCCAAGGTGAGCTGGGGACAGGCAGGACGGGCAGGAACAGCTCCGGTTATCTGGAAGCACCGGTGTCATCCTAGCTGCTGTGCAGGCATGCCCTTTGCTCAGCAGGCCCGACGGGCTTCCCCCGGGACCTCACGCAGCCTCCTACGCTGGAGCTGCGGGGAGAGATAACCCACTAATAGTTTTAAGCCTCTCTCAGCTGCAACCTGGACGCCAGCTCTCATTAATCAGCCAGCTGGTGAATGTCACAGCTGACAAGCCATTGTGGAGAGTGAGACGTTTTGTCAAGTTCTACAGTACTTCACAGTAGACAGGAAGTTGCTCTCAGGACTGAGGTTCAGCCCAGCGGGGGACCCCGAGTAATGAGCCAGTGATCTCCCCACTCTCAAGACTGACAGCCCTGCCAGCAAAGAGCTAGATTGTGATGGACAGGTGTGGCAGCTGTGGGAGGTAGCCCCACGCATTCTCTGCCTGGTCCCAGCCCACATGTTGAGTCTGCCATGGAGAGACAATTAAAACGCTGCGTGTCGCTGTGCCTGGTTTTGCCGTATTGTCTCCACAGCACGGCTGGTTCTCAACCATCAAGTTCAGTAAGTCAGGTCAGACCAGCGTTTCCCAACCAGAAGTGATTTCTGTCCCCCAGGGGACATTTGGCAGTGTAGAGAGACATTTTTGACGGTTACAACTGAAGTGCTACTGGCATCTTGTGGCTAGAGGCCAGACATGCTGCTAAACATCCTACAATGCCCAGAAAAGCCCCAACACCAAAGAATTATCCAACTCAAAATGTTAGCAGTGCTGGGTTAAGCTGATGGCAGAAAAATTGGACAGGTGGGTTTTTAAGAAATTAATCATTTAGTTGACGTGGCAAAATGCCCTGTATAAACGTAGCCTCAACAGTTTATCTGGGGGAGTGATGTATAGTTTTTTGATAATTTTTTTGTTTTGTTCTTTTAGATTGCCGAGAGGGTGAAGCTATCAAAGACAAGGTCCGAATCCTCATCGTCTGATCGGCCAGTCCTGGGCTCAGAAATCAGTACCATAGGGGTGAGTGTCCATGAGAAGCAAGGCCAGAAAGGACCCGATAGAGTTACACAGACAGTGGCTGATAGACGGTAGAAGTTCACCTCCAATAAACCAGTTAATTATTCTATAATAGTAAATCATACCCTGTTTCCTTCCAAAGGATTGAGTTAAAATGTGTATTGATTTCCATCCACATGGTGACTTGTTTCTTCAGCTTTAAGGGATACTTTTTTTATTTCTCTACTTGAAACCATTCAGAAAGCAATGGTTTAAGTCCAGTTCCTGGTGATGTAGTAGATGAAAGTCTTGAAATATCTGTTTTATGTCACCCTGCTACCCTAGAGATCAAGGGAGTCATGGAGCTCTAAAAGAATTTTGCCTTTTGCACATCCTCTTGAAAGGGCATGTGCTCTCCAGTGAGGGTGAATGATGCCTTTGAAGTGTGTCCCCATACTAGGAAAGACCGGAACTTTCCAGTTTAGTGCCAGAGTTTTTCATTTGTAGAGCTTGGGAAGCCCCTGGGGGCTGTAAGAGCTGATGGATGGTGAAAAGGGAGTAGTTTCAGTTCCTTAAGGGGTATCTTTTAGGATTGGGGATGAGGCTGGGAGAGCCAGCCATTTGATCTGTAGGGGTGAGTAGAGCCTGACTAGCACTTCTAAGACCCTAGTGTACATCTGTGCACTGAGCAAAAATTGCATGTATTCGGATTCCACACCAAAGCCAAATTGTGAAAGTGAAGGAGTCGGCCCCTTTCCTTGGCTACAGTAACCAGAGAGTGTGACCTGGAGTGGCAGGAGATTCAGGATGGGGGAAGGAAGTCCAGACTCTGCTCAACATCCAAAATTTAGGGACTCTGAAGAGGCACAGTACCCCCATCCTTGCTGCCCAACAGCACAAGCTTGGGAGATGCAACTATATTTTGATCCTATTTTATGTACTGCTTTCATAGTAGTTTGCTTTTTAAGCTAGAATTTTATCAGACATACTGAGAACCATCAGGATAACCATCTCCTGGTGCAGGATTCTCAGTGAATATCAGCTTTGAATTGTTTTGTGTGCAAAGCATGCCCGGGGACCAGCATCCTTTATGTGACACTGTCCAAAGGGGAATTAACGCTCATTTGTACAGGTGTCCAGCAGCGTGGCAGAACACCTGGCCCACTCGCTTCAGGACTGCTCCAACATCCAAGAGATTTTCCAAACACTCTACTCACACGGATCTGCCATCTCTGAAAGCAAGATTAGGGAGTTTGAGGTCGAAACAGAACGGTTGAATAGGTAAGGAGCAATCCTGGGTTTTGATGGGGGCTGAGAGAAGCCGTTCCTCTCTTCTCCTTCCAAAGAGCAAATCGGCTTGTGTCTTGTGACATAGAGGACGCTGTCAGGCTGGTGGGGTTGGCAGCGTCCACCATCCCAGCCGCCAGGGCAGTGCTCGCAGCAGGGCTGGCTTCACGGCCGTGTGACCTGGCCCTTCCCACGGGGCCCCAAGCTCAGAAAGACTCCACACTTGCCTTGCTATCTTGCTGTCACCGTTTTCAATTCTTTTTTTTTTTTTTTTTAAGACAGAGTCTCACTCTGTTGCCTGGGTTAGAGTGCAGTGGCAGGAGCCTAGCTCACAGCAACCTCAAACTTCCAGGCTCAAGCAATCCTTCTGCCGCAGCCTCCCAAGTAGCTGGGACTACAGGCATGCGCCACCATGCCTGGCTCATTTTTTTCTATATATTTTTAGTTGGCCAATGAATTTGTTTCTTTTTTTAGTAGAGATGAGGTCTCACTCTTGCTCAAGCTGGTTTCGAACTCCTGACCTTGAGTGATCCGCCCGCCTCGGATCCTCCCAGAGTGCTAGGATTACAGGCGTGAGCCACCGCGCCTGGCCTTCAATTCTTAATAATTTACGAAATGGGGCCCCACTGTTTTGTTTTGGACTAGACTCTGCAAATTATAGAGCGAGTCCTGGGAGCAGTCCATACCGAATGCAAGTAGGTCACGGAGGGTTGCCAAGCGTGCAGGCCTGTGCTGCAGAGAACCGCAGAGGGGAGTTCTGGAATGTTGAGTCAGCGTCCCAGGGGCGCCTGGAGCTACCAGGATCCAGCAGAGACAGTCTGGTCGAGACATTCCTGGCACTGACCAGGCATGCTGGTCTGACTCTCCTCGCTCTTCCTGATAGTTGCCTAACTTTATTCATGCTCTTTGCGAATGTGCCTTATCCTGGCTCCCCATATCCTATCCTAACTGTCCTGCTTAGAATAATTGTACCCTATACCCAGTTTGATGGATTCTTTCCAAGTCTCACGAAAGAGGTAGTTTGAATTTGCACTCCTGCCTGTTGGCAAAGATTGGCCGTTGTGTCATCCCAGTGATGAGAGAGTTGTTAAAAAAAGCAGAGAACTCGGACCTGGGCCAAACCATGGGAACCACTCTGACTCAGAATGGGTTCTGCAGTGGCAGAATGCTCTTCTGAATCTCACCCAAGTGTGGTGTGGCTGCCTTGACCCACCGATCTAGTTAGTGGGAGAGCATGGTAAGAATTTGAAAGCCTTATGAGCTAACCAGGAAGAAATGCCAGGAAGAAATGGGGAAGATACCATTCCCCATCTATCATTGCTTAATTCCATTCTTCTTGTGTATAGCAAACCTGAATAAATTGAATTATCATGTTAGTCCTCCCTGATTTGAAACTGTTCAATGTAGTTCTTGAGAACTAAGGAAGTTGGCAACCTAGGTCATTTTAAATCTTGAAATTAAATGGTTTCCTTATTAAATCCAAAAATACTTAAGAGTGATAATCCTGATGATTACCTTGTAGCAGTAAAAAAGTAGTCTTCTCGGTATCACTGGCCTGGGAGTGCTTAAAAATTGAATCAGATACGCCCTTTGCAATTTAATGAAGTCAGATGCCTTCAGGGAGCTCTCAATTTAGAAGAATCTCCTGTCTATGGATTCTGGGATTTAACAAGCCTGCTTTGTGGCTGAATCTGGGGGAGGTTCCTTCTTCCTCAGGCATATGCACCAAGGAGAAACCAAAGAAGAGAAATATTTGGTGCTTGTAGCCCATATTATTATGGTATTTAATAGCTTACAAAGGCTGTCACAGACAACCACCTAATCCTCAACTTGTGAGGGCAGGGTTGTCCCTTCCCATTTTAAAAATGAGAAAAAACAGGCTATCAAGTTGCAGTTTGAGGCGAGAGCTATTAGCCCCTACCCTGTGACATAGCCTTCGTTGTCCACTCTGTGATCATAGCCGCTGCTGGAACCTGGGGGTCCGTCAAAGTAATCTACCAGAGTATCCCGATAACTGTTATTGAGCCACCCATCTCAAAGTTAGAGGCCTGTTACTCTCAAAATATGTCAGCCTTTAACTTCATGATTGCCGGGGGCATGGCAGGGAGTGTCTTACCTGCTCACAAGTGTATTACCTTTCATGATGGATCTGTTTTAAGCATCTACTGGGTGCTGGGCTATTTGGCATGCCAAGCAAAATGAAACAGACAAAGCCCTGCTCTCATGGAGCTTCTATTCTGTTAGGGAAGGTAGACAAAATAAATAAGATTATAAGCAAGGTCCAAGAAGGAAATAAAGAGGACACTGGCAGAATCACAGGGAGGGTTTATTTCACATGGTGGTTGGGGAAGGTGTCTGAAGAGGGGATGTTTATGCTGAGATTTTAAGGGAAAGAGGAGCAGCCGTATGACAGACTAAGGTTCTTATGGGCCAGTGTAACAATCGTGAGGCTGGAAAGAGGTTGGCATGAAGGAGGAACCGTCCAAAGGCCAGTGGAGCTAAGGGGGAGTGAGTGGAAGGAGAAGCTCTTCGAGATGAGGTGGCCGAGTGGCCCAGATGCAGATTTTGAGGCCATGGACAAATTTAACTCTTTATTCTAAGTGCAATTGGAAGGAAGTTATTAGAGTGTTTAAAACACGGGAAGAACAAGATATGATTTACATGCTGCAAGCTCAGTTGGGTGTGAAGAATGGGAAGGAGGATAGTGGAAGCAGAGAAGAGGGGTCAGGACACATGCGGTGCTGGGAGCAGTGGAGACTGCAGCCGGCTGAGATCGGGGGGTGAGAGGAAGGGATGGTCTCTAAGAAGATTCTTGGGGGTCTAGCACGTAGTGTTGGGTAGATGGTGGTGGCAGGTGCTAAGATGGAGAAGATGGGGGAAGGCAAGGCTTGGGGAAAATCTAGAGTCCCATTTTGGACTGTTAATTGGGGATGGCACTGTGACACCCAAAGGAAGAGCTGGATATGTGAGCCTGGCGCTCAGAAGAAAGGTCTGGGCTAGAGAAATTTGGGAGCCGTCAGACCCTGAATGCCTATTGAAATCGTGGGACTGGATGAAATTACCCCTGGGTTGGGAGCATTGACAGCGGAGGGGACCCAGGACTGACACTGGAGGGAAAGCCAGGCCCTACTGCTTTTATACAGAATGGACATCCAGCAAAGGATACCGCATGGCCTAAGTGAGGGGAGCATTTCAAGAAGGAAGGAGTATGGTCACAGGGAGGTTCGGCCGCAGACTGAGTTGTGTAAAAGCTTCATCTAAGCTGGGTGCTGTGGCTCACACCCCTAATCCCAGCAACTCGAGAGGCTGAGGTGGGAGGATCGCTGAGGCCAGGAGTTTGAGACCAGTCTGAGCAACACAGTGAGACCTCTGTCTCTATGAAAAATAAAAAATAAATAAATAAGCTGGGCGTGGTGAAGCATGCCTGTAGTCCCAGCTACTCGGGAGGCCGAGGCAGCAGGATTGCTTGAGCCCAGGAGTTGGAGGCTGCAGTGAGCTGTGGAGCAAGTTGAAAAATGAGTGGGAACACTTTCAAAAAAAATTTTTTTTGGCCGGGCACAGTGGCTCATGCCTGTAATCCTATCCTAGCACTCTGCGAGGCTGAGGCGGGCAGATCATTTGAGCTCAGGAGTTCAAGACCAGCCTGAGCAAGAGCGAGACCCTGTCTTTACTAAAACAAAAAAAAATAGAAATTAGCTGAACAACTAACAAATATATATATATGTATGTATGTATGTAAAGTCGGGCATGGTGGTGCATGCCTGTAGTCCCAGCTACTGGGGAGGCTGAGGCAGCAGGATCGCTTGAGCCCAGGAGTTTGAGGTTGCTGTGAGCTAGGCTGACGCCACGGCCCTCCACCCCGGGCAACAGAGTTTTGCTCTGTCTCGCAGGCTAGAGTGCAGTCGTCGCGGCTCACTTAGCAGTGCACCCCCGGAGTTGAGTGGTCATGGCGGGAGGCAGGGAAGCCTGCCTATGCAGAAATCACATGGCAAGAGAGCAGGGAGGTGCCAATTCAGCAACCAGCTCATAGGGTTAGAGCTCACCCCTGAGGAGGGAGGGCGTTGACCTAGTCATGAGAGATCTGCCTCCTACAACCCCTTCGCCTCCCATGAGGCCCCACCTCCGCCATGGTGGACCAGAGTTCAACGTGAGGTTTCAAAGCATCGCACTCACCGATGTGAACTCCCGACTTTGAGCGATCCGCCCGCCTCGGCCTCCCAGAGTGCTGCGATTACAGGCGTGAGCCACCGCGCCCGGCCTGCGCTCAGTGATTCATCGTTTGCTTCTGCTCTGTAGTGTGCGGTCGAGAAAACAGGATCTGGGGTCAAACTGCCTGGTTCAAATCCAAGGCCAGGAACTTAACCTTTCTGCACCTCCATCTCCTCACCTGAGAAATGGAGATGATAACACTGAAGTCCGAGGGCTGCTGGGAGGATTATTGTTGAGCAAAGGCTCGACAAATAGTAGCTATTGCTAGGATGCTGCTCTTCATTTCCCCCTGTGGAGGGTGACTTACTGAAGCTCACCAGATGGTCCTGTGAGGAGGGCCGTGAGGGCACACGCCCGCCGCCTCTCCTGGGTGTGCCCTGGAGCCTAGTGTGGCACCTAGCGCGTGGCACCTGACGCATGGCACCCATGGAGTGAGCATGGGACAGCTGGGCGGGAAACAACCAGGAGGTTATTTTTCATTTCTGATTCACACAGAATTTAGTGATTTATTTATTTTTTAAGAGTCGCCCCATTGATTATTTTGTGTCAGTTACTAAAACATCTGACAAGCCCACGTCCCCAACACGCTTTCCTGGCCTGAATATAAATGCGACAACTGAAACGTTGGCAATGAGATCGAATCTTACAGTGAAAAGTGATTTTTTTTTCTTCCTTTTTAGCCGGATTGAACACCTCAAGTCCCAGAATGACCTCCTGACCATAACCCTGGAGGAGTGTAAAAGCAACGCCGAGAGGATGAGCATGCTGGTGGGGAAGTACGAGTCCAACGCCACCGCGCTGAGGCTGGCCTTGCAGTACAGGTGGGGACGGCCGCAGGACATGGCAGGACTTTGTCGCCACGTTAAGTTCCAAATGCATATAGAGTGACCTTCTGCACACAAGTAGGAAACAGGCTTTGAGAAGGCGTGACTGAGGGGTTGGACCAGCAGAGAGTATAAGGGTGGATACTCTGGTATTCATAGTATAGTATACTCTGAATATGGTATTAGTAAACAGGTATGTTTTACTAGTATATCCAACTTAAATATTATTTCATTTACGTAATATCACTCTAGAAGATCAGTTTTTGTGTTACATATTCATTTGTTCTTTCTGATCTTTATTCATATATATTTTATATTGTTGTAAATCTAGTATATTCTATTTCTTCGATTTGGCCTAATTTTTAATATTCACCATTTATTTTGAGTTGTTGTAACCCCTGCTTCAAGTGTACACATTCTTATTTATTTAGTCATTTCTCTAAAAGACATTTAGACTTTGGCAAACTTTTGATATTGAAGATAGTTCTATGGTGAATAATTTAATACAGACAAGGTATTCATTTTTATTAAATATTTCCTTGGGGTAAAAATCCCTAAAGCAGGAATTATAGGTCAAAGAATATGACTGTTTTCCTGGCTCTTCATGCATGCTGCTGACTTTTTTCCATAGAAACAAGCCAGTTTAAACGACCACAATTCATTCGTTGGTGAGCACATGGTAATTTGAATGCACTGCTTTTTTGCTGCCTCATCAGCTTTGGAACTTATCTGTTTTTAAATAACTGCTTGTTCAAAGCTGCAAGAGTGTGCTTTATTATTGTCTTCACAGGTTTATTTAATTAGCGTAACCACTTAAGCATATTTGCCAAGGTCTCATAGTAGTTGACTGTATCTTACTCTTAGCTTCCTCTAAAACGTTCAATATTGTTTTAAGAAACATTGTTTATTCTATAAACAATCAAACCAAAATATAGGCAACCTAAGCCGGAGAGCAATCATGCTAGTTGACAGACACACCAAAGCAAGCAGATCGTCCGCTTGTGATAACTCTTGAAACCGGCTGTCGTCTGCCCACAGCCTGCCTTTGATCAGGAAGGTCTTTCTCCACACTAGCACGTGCTCACGAATGAAGAAATGGCCCGGCATCTCTAACCTGAAATTTGGGTTGCCCTTGAAAGGAGGAGCTGGCAGCGCCTGGAGCGAGTGATTCGGCCTTTTTTTTTTCTCTTTAACTCTTAGTAAAGGATGATGAAAGTAAAGACAATCAAAAACAGATGGTCTGTTGACTAAATGTTGACTAAAGCAGCATTTCCCCTGCTCGACTTGGAGAAGCTATCCCGTTATCTGCTTAAGGAGGAAATTTTGCCTCTGTAGGCATGTCGTCTGGGACCACGCAGGTGTCACGCACATGTGCCGCCTCCTGCGTGCACGTGGGTCCGTGCGGGTCTCAGGCCGTGGAACGGGGGCTGTTCTTTGATCTTCTGCCTCGTTTGCCCAATGGATCACGGGGCACAAAGGAGAGAGACTACAGTTCTTCTTCTTAGAAGCCCAAACTCAAACTCTTGTTAGAGATTTTGTGAGGCGAAGAGTAGTGTGTCATGAGACAGGTTTTACAAGTATGTGAAATATAACTTTCTGTGGTGATGGAACTGTCCTCTCTCGGGGCTGCCCAGTGTGGCCACCACTAACCACATGTGGCCATTGAACATGTGAAGTATTACATGCAAGACTATGCAATGGAGGGACTGGAGCTTTCATTTTATTTAAATTAAAATGTAAATGATTTAAATAGCCACATACGGCTAGTGGCTGCAGTATTGGATAGTGCTAGTCTACATCCAAATAATCTCCTTATAGGGTGTTATATTAATTACCTATTATATAACTGATAATGTACTACATCACATTTCTGAGGGTCGGGAATCTGGGAGTGGCTAGCTGGGTGGTTCAGGTCAAGCCGTCAGCTCAGGCTGTGTCATCTGAAACCTCCCGTGGCTGTTGGCTGGAGGCCCCAGTTCTTTCCCAGCTGTTGGCGGGAAGCCGTGGGCCTCTCTGTAGGACTCTTGAGAGTCTTCGAGCCCTGACAGCTGGCCTTCTTTGGAGAGGACGATCTGGAAGAAAGTGAAGTGAGAGAGAGTGGCCACGACGGAAGTCGTGGTGTTTTTTAACAGCCTAATTTAGGAAGCGACCTAGTGTCAGGTCTGCCGTGTTCTGTGAGCCGCACAGACCATGCCTGGTACAGCGTGGACGCCAGGGTGTGGGACTCTGGCTGAAAGCTGGCTCCCACGGAAGTGTCACCTTTCCCGTTTAGCTGGTCACCAGGACACCACACTGGCATCTCCCACCTTCATTGCTTCTCTTGCTTTTTTCTAGGACCTAGCTTAAAGTTTTATCGTTTAAAAAGGCCGTCTACTATTTAATGAGTATACAGAACAACAAGGAGGCCAGTGCAAAAGAACGAGCCACTGGCCTTGTCCGGGGAATACTCGTGGGCGGTTTCCTTGCCCGTGTGTGGGTGGTGAGGCCGAGGCTGACCCCAGCCACCTCCCCCGGGGACGGGCGCCGGTGTGGAAGGTGCCACCACGCCGCGCAGCTGAGGCGTGTGCTTGTGTTTCAGCGAGCAGTGCATCGAGGCCTACGAGCTCCTGCTGGCGCTGGCCGAGAGCGAGCAGAGCCTCATCCTGGGGCAGTTCCGAGCGGCCGGCGTGGGCTCCTCCCCTGGTACGTGCTTCCCAGGTCCCTCTTCCTCATCTTGTCCCCTGCCTCTCCTGCTCCCCGGCCCCCGTCTCAGCGGCTGGCCTTGCATCATCTCCCGACAGCGTGAAATTCAGTTGTCAGGTGTGTTTTTCGTTTTTCCTCATGGCTGAGTGGGTAAATTGTTTACGTTGAATGCAGCAAGAACTGGAGTAGAAACAGAACGACAGACGAGTTCAAACAAACAAGCCTGTTTAGGAAGCGCATTCTCCCGGGCTGACACGGGGCGGTGTGGAGCGGGGCCCACATCCATGATTAGAGGGGCCCGCTTGGCTGCAGCCACCTCGCCTCCCGCCACCCTCCAGGGGTCACTGGTCCTGCTGGCCTCACCTGTGCCTCAAGAGCCACACTGCCCTCCTCCTATCCCCAAATTTTTATTTTATTTTATTTTATTTTATTTTATTTTATTTTATTTATTTATTTATTTTTACAGAGTCTCACTCTGTTGTCTGGGCTAGAGTGCTATGGCATCAGCCTAGCTCACAGCAACCTCAAACTCCCGGGCTTAAGTGATCCTCCTGCCTCAGCCTCCCGAGTAGCTGGGACTACAGGCATGCGCCACCACGCCCAGCTAATTTTTTTTTCTCTATATATTTTTAATTGGCCAATTGATTTCTTTCTATTTTTAGTAGAGACAGGGTCTCACTCTTGCTCAGGCTGGTTTCGAACTCCTGACCTCAAGCGATCCACCCGCCTCAGCCTCCCAGAGTGCTAACATTACAGGCGTGAGCCACTGCTCCCAGCCCTTATCCCACAATTTTGAGTAAGAGGAAGGCATATCTCACCGAAGAGGAGGGAGTCACGGCACGCTAGAGAGCAGCACTTGCTGAAACTCGACCAGTGCTTGTGACTCTGAGCCCTACAGCGATGTGAGGAGAACTACAGTAGAATAGTGCTAGAAATCAAGGTTCATTCATGTTGCAAAAAAAAAAATAGAAAATAGTGCTTGAAAGAGGAAGAGAAAGGCTGCCGCCAGGCAGTGCGGAACTGCACCCAGATGCTGCCTTAGACACTCCCTTTATAACAATGCAGCTGCTCTGCAGAAGCATCGGCAACTCAGCCGAAAGCAGAGGTGTGACTGGGTCACTCCAGAGCCAAAGGTGGTGGCGTGGGCAGGTCGGGTGTCCCCGTCCGTGGTGACCAGGCTGTCGTCACAGACTGGTTTTCAGCTATGAGCTTCCACTAGGGCTTGTCCTTCCACGATGACCAAGACCTACAAAGCAGGTCACCATCCGGGCACCTTCCGAACACACTCTCCTGTCCTCCTCGCCAGCACCTCCCTTGCCTGGGGAGAGCTCTGCACTGCCCTGGCGTGTGTGTCCTCCTGCTTTGACATGCACAGGGATCTGAAAGTTGAGGGAAGAGAAGTGTTCATTTCCTGCTTTGTACCCAAGTTATGCAGCAAGGGAGCAAGCCTGCATTTGTATGGCTGGCCATCCTCTGCACGCCTCCCTCTGTTTTTTTTTTTCCCTTAATAGTATTACCAGCCCAACCCAGAAGTAGAAACTGTGCCAGCATTTCCATTAGAAACCTCATTTTTCAGGGTCTTTTAACTGAACCATAAAACTTTATTCCTCATATGAAACAGATCCTAAAATGATCTTGGCCTGCTGTCAGGTTTTTTTAATTAACGTATTAAGAAAAATAATCAAAGGGGGAAAAAAATCAATCATCTTATTTCCAGTTTGTATCAGAGGAACATCTTCACCTGTTCTGTCCTCGAAAGGTACCTTTTGTTGGGCTTGTACCTACTCAGTGCGGCTACCTGGTGTAGGAGCTGAAAGGGCTTAAATAACTCTGCATTTCAAATATTTAAAATCAATAATGAAATGCTTTGTGTTTACCTAATGCTGGTGGCTCATGTATACATTGATGAGACGAGCCATTCAGTAATGTCATGCCAACTTCAGAACAGAATTCAAATGCAGTCAGCTGGGGAAGTCGCTTGTAAAAATGTCTTATTTGTGCAAAGAAGAGAAGCATGAAGGTTGTTGGAGAGGTGGCCAGGGGGGTCCAGGGACTCTTGGGCGACATGCCCCGCCCCTCTCCTGCCCACTCCCCACAGTGCTGAGGGCTGGCTTAATTTTTAGCAGCTTCCCTTAAAACCTCGCTCTTCCATTCTGCTGACAGCAGCAGTTGGCCGATCACTCTGTGCTAACGTGCTGTATAGTTGTTGCATGGCAAAGACAGAACTAGTTTGTGACTTTCACCCACAGTATTAGTTATTATGCTTTTTTCCTTTGTTTCTTGTCACCTTCGTGGGCATTGATTATGTTACTCTAGTTGCTTTCGGTCAGTGGTCTTCGAATTGCACCGTGGGAAGCTGGAGGCATTTCTTTGGGGCTCAACAGTGGGCTTGTTTGGCGGGTGGGATGCTGGGTGTGTCCGCCCACTTCACTCAGTTCGAAGTTTGCCATTTGTATATGTTAGCAAAACAGTTTGTTTGCTCTGGCGTAAGATTTCGTTTGAAAATATTCGGAAGAGCATGGATCCGTGCTGTTCAGGTAGCAAACTGGTGACTTGTTTGGCCAGCACATTTTTGTTTCTTTTTTTTTTTTTCTTTTAAGATTTTAATTTTTTTTAGAGCAGTTTTAGGCTCACAGCAAAATTGAGAGGAAGGTACAGAGATTTCCCAGGTACCCCCGTCCCCACACATGCACGTCCCCCACCAGGGTGGTACGTTAGTTGCAACTGATGAGCCTGCACAGACACGTCGTCACCACGCAGAGCCCACGGGTCACATCAGGGTCCACTGCTGGCGGTGAACGTTCTGACAAGCGCGTGAGGACATGCATCCACCATTAGAGCATCCCATAGAATAGTTCCACTGCCCTGAAAATCTTCTATCCTCTGCCTGTTCATTCCTCCCCCACCCCTGGTGACCCTTGATCTTTTTAGTATCTCCATAGTTTTGCACTTTCCAGCGCTGTTTTTAAAACACAACAAGAATGCGAACATCTTGGGCAGGGACTTCACTGCCTGGCTCTGTGCTGGCACCTACCACACTGTGACATCCTACTCCAGCCCTGACACTTTGCTGCTGGAGACATTTGTGTTTGCCACCATTACTAGGACAGGAGAAGGGTTGGGGTAGCATCAGTACAGAAAATACAGAACGAATCTCAAGTCCTTGTCTGAACCGTTAGTTGTGTCTCTCTTGCGACCCACCCAAAGCCCTAGCCAAGGCTGGAGATAGGACACCGTTTTGCCTCGATTTCTCCCTGCCCTCATTTACAAAGAAGCACTGATGCATGAAAGAATGGCCAAACGGTAGACTTATGGCTAAGTGGGAGGAGAAGCCAGGAACCTGGAAAATTATTTAACAGAAAATCATAGCCTGTTAGAGCTGGGAACAGGTCCTGGCAAGCACATTGGCCAAGCCCTTTGTGTGTCCACAAGGACACTGGAGTCCAGAGCAGAGACGTGCCCTCCCACATGCAGCTTCTAAGTGACAGAGCCGGGCCCAGAATGCAGATCCCCACGCCATACCCCCTCTGCCCTGAGTAACTGAGGGTCAGTGATGCAAAGTCACCCCCGGGCTTGCCTTGCCACAGACCTGTGTTGATTAATCCCTTGGCTTCTCTGCCACGTAGGAGACCAGTCAGGGGACGAAAACATCACTCAGATGCTCAAGCGAGCTCATGACTGCCGGAAGACAGCTGAGAACGCCGCCAAGGCCCTGCTCATGAAGCTGGACGGCAGCTGCGGGGGCGCCTTCGCCGTGGCCGGCTGCAGCGTGCAGCCCTGGGAGAGCCTGTCCTCCAACAGCCACACCAGGTACCCTCAGCCTTCCTGCCCGCGGTGGCCGTGCGTCCACGTGTCCTCAGCTCACTGCACTTGGTGTGTGGTGACTGTGTGGCTTGGGTAAAGGCAAAATGCACTTCAGGCTTGCAGGCTGCTCCAGCCAAAACTATGTCAGAGAACGAGAACGGGAGAGCCAGGAAGCAGCCTTCTCATTTTACCAACGTGGAAACTGCAGTCCAGAGAGGAGGGTTGATTTGCTACAGGGGTCCTCAAACTTTAAGCAGGGGGCCAGTTCACTGTCCCTCAGACTGTTGGAGGGCCGTTGGAGAGAGTGGGGCACATTCTGCACATGCGCACTGTGGGCCCGGGACGACTCGGCTGCTAAGCAGGACAGGCAGCGGCGGCAAAAACACCCGGTGGGCCGGGTAAATGTCCTCGGTGGGCCACAGTTTGAGGACCCCTGCTAGAAAGTGGTAGAGTGGATGTTCCCCTCTCGGTTTCCCATTGGCAGGACCCAGCCGTCTGCCTCAGTGTGTCCATTTACCTGTGCTGGGCCAGGTGTCCCAGGGGAGGGGACATTCCCAATAACGCACTTGGCCTGGCACCCACAAACAGAAGGGACTTCATTTCCTCTTGACTCCAGCAACAATTGACTTACTCAGTGAAGCGCAGATTATAATTTATTTTTTTTTCTCTTAAAACCAGATTCTTCTGTTTAAATACAGAAAGCAGATGCTCTTCTTAATGACTTTTCCAGATGTGTGTAATCTATGATTTCTGTGTTCATTTAGTATAGAAATGCAGTTCTCGTGTTGTCGGTGATGCCGTTCTGTTGAATTAGTAAGCGTTCAGGTGGCGGCAGTTGTGTTTCAGCAGCTTACGAGGCTTGTGCTACAGATCATTTGCTCACCCCTCCCCACCCCCAAAAATAATTTTATGGTTTTATTTTGAATCAGAGACAAAATTTGGAATCAGAAATGAGGATAATTTTCTCACCATCTAATTATTAGAGATCAGGGTTTTGAATATTTGTTAGAAATACTTTATAAGTGAGCCTTGATTTCAAGACCATTTTCTTACAGAAATTTAATGTTGGGAGTATATTTAAGCTGGTTGAGATAAAGTCAGGACACAGAGTCACTATTTTCAAGTGTAGCCTCACTCAGGAATGGTCCCTGAACTAATTTCAGTCTCAAATGGATCTTCCCATTAGAGTACAAAGGTTTCTAGCTCTGATTTCACACAGTTCTCCTTAAAAATTCACTGTTGCCCTCCTGCCTAAATCAGAACAGCTCAGAATGAGTACGAAAGAACCACACACCGGGCATTCATTTGTCGGTTCACGTTCTTAGAACCTGGTACAGGTAGACTACTAGACGTCACACATAGGTTCAAAATAAAGTCCCAAACTACCAGACCCCTTTCATAATTATAGTAACTATAGTAATTTTGTTTGTATTAATAAATCCTGCATTTCTGGCTCAGAGACTCCCACAGGGCAAGTTTATGAAACACGAGAAAGAAGTGGAACTTCATGAGTTGCAGGTTTATGTGGCCCAGCAGCTGCCATTTCTTCTCGCTGGAACCAGCTGGCACGGAGAGTTCTTCTGATCAGAGTGGCAGCTGGTTCCCCAGGGCTCAGGAAAGGAACCCGAGGACCAGGCCTCCAGCGGCATTTCTGGTAGCACATAGGCAGCGCCTGACAACAGGAGGGTTAATGGTTCTAGAAAAGAGCAGGCAGAGGGTGGTTAACCAGCAAGGAGAATAAAAATGATAGCCAACCCTCAGTCGACTGTTGGCAGGAGCCCAGGGATGTTGCTATTTCATTCTTGAAAGCTACAGCCACGGTCCCATCAGAAATAGCAGTTGTCTCAGTGGGCAGAGTAACTAGGCTGGGTTTCCCGGATAGCTTTACCAACAGGTCATGACAAACAGGCCAATGGGCTAAACTGTCGGAAGGCAGAAATAGGAATTCTTAATCCAGCCCATCCTTTGCGTCAAGTGTCACAACTCCAGCTCGTTCTATGGAAGTGCAGTCACCAGTCTATATCCACAAAGGAACCGTGGCCAAGACAGAATTAGCCCGGGCAAGTCTGCTCGCACCAAGACTGGAATTGAGTCTTTTCTGTCTCCACGTCAGGTGGGGGTCCGGTCTGGGAGAGCCCCATGAGAACGGGGATTGTAGCCTCTCTGGGAACCTCTTTGCACCTCCAGGTGGCCGGGACACCACCCGGCCAGCCACTCACCCTGGGGCATAATCCCCAAATTGGAAAGGACGGCAGCAGAGCTCCCGAGGTGCCCAGCCCTCGCCCTGTAAGCTAGTCTGGATGAAGATGAAGTTTCCCTGGGCAGAAAGAAAGGCTGAGGAAAGTGGAATCATATCCATTGCAAAGGGGAATGAAAAGGGCAGAAACAGCCGTCTATTTAGGACAAGCCTCTGCCACCACCATCCGCCAGCCTCAGGGAACGAGAGCTGGACTAGGTGTGGCCATGGTCACAGTCAGGAGGGTCCCTCCGGAGTCCTTGGGATTAATGCTCATTTGTGCTAGTGAGCCCTAAAGACCAGCCCAGACACACCCCTCTATATGACAGCAAGGTGACCAGCCCTCTTGTGCTCAAATGTCCTTGTCACTTATCTTTTAGATTCTATGAGAATAAGGTAGAGACATTAAGTACTTTTTTTTTTTTCTTTTAAGACCCAACTTCTGATTTCAAAAGAACTGTAGGCTCGTTGTAAAAGTAAGCAATGAAAACCCCAGCAGCACAAAATGCGTAGTACACAAAAGTTCTCCATGCCAGGACCCTCTCTGGCAAAGACACTAGAAACAGTTTGGGGTATATTCCCACAGAATTAACTACACTTTTTATTAGTTAAGATGCCTGGGTGCAAAGGATGGAAACGTGCTCAAATAGCTCAAATAGAAAGGGTCTCACAGGAAGGCTGTCCGGCGTCGCACACGGGAGCTGCGTGCTGGGCAGGGCTGCAGTGACCCAGGGCAGCCGCAGAGCCACGTCGGGCTGCCGGGCTCCACGTGTCCCGCCAGGCCGGGCTCCACGTGTCCCGCCTGTGTGGCCCCTGCATGTGGCTTTCATTCTCCTTCCTACTGCAGGCCGCCTTCCCCAGGTGATGCCAGCACAGCACCTGCATTTGTGCACGTGGCTGACTGGTTTCTCTGGTGACAAGGAAGAAAATCCTGGGGGAAGGACGTCTTGCCCATCTGGGCTCAGACGCTTACCCTGGTCATCAGGGGCTATAGCAGGGTGGCGTCATGGCAGTTCCCTCTGGGGCCACCTGGATGGAGAAGAAGCAGGGTGGGCCCCAGCAAAAGAGCTTGGAAAGCAGGTACTCAGCAGACGAAAATATGGGACCTTTAAAAACAGGACTGCATCTAACTTAACAAAGATCCTGTTACGTGGACTCTCGTGAAACATGCATTTTCCTCTTAGTGTTATATATTCTTATACATTTTTCCATATGCGTCATTCTTTCTAATAGTTGGATAGTTTTCCACTGGACAGCAGTAGCACCATGTATTTAAACAGCTTCCTCTTGTTAGACGTTCTTATCCAGTTTTCTACGTTGCTGCAGCCACTATCCTTGTCCTTATACCCATCCCTCATGTGCAGTTTCTGTGAGACCGGTTCTGAGAAGTAGCATTGGCTGGCTCAAAAATTAATAATATTTCAAATGTCAAATAGTCCTCTGCACATAATCCAGTTATTCTCCTACAGCCAGTGTGTGAGAGGGCCTCTTCCTCCACTAGCTAAGACTGGGTGATATACATATTTTTCAATTTGTCCAATCTGTAGGCAAAAAAATGTCCTTAATGTTTCCATTTGTACCTCTTAATTGTTAGTGGTTTAAAATCATTTATACTGTTTATTCTAATGCCAAGTAGACTGTTAGTAACAGTATAGCTGTCAGGCCTACAGGGTGTCTATCTTGGTGTGTTAGCAGTAACCAAATTAGGAATGGGTTAATATTTGTTTTAGACATGCCTGGTTTCCAACGCCATTGTGACGACCCCTTTAAAAATGCCTGCATAAGTAGAATTTATCTCCTAAATATTTCCATTTCTTATTTTCACTACCACTGTCAGCTGAGCTGTTAGGAGCTTTTTGGACCCAGGTAGTTTTGTAGGACGGTAGTTATCTGACAGCAGATTTTCCCATGTCCATATTTTGTCAGACAGTTGTAGGACAATTTGTTAGATCATTTACCACATTTAACCTCGGTTTCTCCTCCTAGAGAATTCTGATAATCATTGCAGAAAATACAACTCCTAAGAGGTTTAGAGTTTTAAGTGTTTGTAGTCCCTTGCTACAAACCTCTTGTTCGAAAAAGGGGATGGATAAAAGATACAGGCAGTTGGCAAGGCTCAACCTTCCCTTTAGAGAAACAGGGCCACTTAGGAGTGGCTTTAGTGCCAAATATCACCTGGACTGACCCCGTCCTCCAAATAAATTCCGAATGTTCAGCATGACAGATGCCCGGCCCATGGCACTTTCCTTCTAAAAATGAGCTGCTCCTTGATGGAAATCGGTTCTCAACTGGGGCCAGGTAACACGCCGATAAAAAAAACTTCAGGAAAATTCCATCACTGATGTTTGAGGCAAAAGAAATCTCCTCCTAACCTTCTGCCAAGGCGACCGGAGGGAGCTGAAGAAAAATGAGTTTCTCCTAATGAGCAGGCCGGGGAGGCATCTTGAGGACAGAGATGGGGATGGTGGAAAGGGACGGAGAGAGGGTGTGTGACCCAGATAGGTGTTCTAACAGCACGTCCCACGGTGGGTCCTCCTGAGCCCCCCAGCCCTGCCTTCCCTGGGCGAATGTCGCAAGGGAGAGCCGATGGCAGGAGCTGCGGCAGATCGTCCGTGGAAGGAAGGCGACAGCCACGCGTCCTGGCCCAGCTCCTCTAAAAGCCAGAGCGAGACACACGTGTGCGGCCAGGGTTTTCTTCGCAGCCGCCTTGCCCGCTTTCCCTCTCTCGGAACACAAGCGGCTGCCGCCTGGAGAGCAGGAGCAATGTGGCCAGCCGCAGGGAGTGATGGATTCCCCGGGGACAGCTGAGATCATCCGCATTCCAAGCCGGAGAGTTAATGGATGACTTAGCCCTGGCCCAGGCGGGCAGCAGGCCCGGGAGACTGCCTGCACCTTCATCTGCGGGAGGCCGGAGAAAGGGCCGGGGCTTCCCCTCCTTTTACCTCTGTGGCATCGTACCCCGCAGTGGAACGTTAGGCGCAGAAGGCAGAATCGTGATTAACCTCGCCTGGTCTGTTACCTGCTGGTGTCGTTAGAAGGAGGAGAGGGAAGCCGGACGGGCTGTGGGGCTTATCTGGAAATTCAGCTTTCCTCTGGCTAAAAGCATTTGAAACCTCTGAGTCTGTGCACTGAGATCTTCTGTTCTTTTTTCTTATTTTCTTCCTTTCTGAAAACCGTACTTTACACCAAAGAAGTGAAACAAAAGCCTTCCCTGTCGGGCCAGGAATCAGGCTCTGGGCCCAAGAGGGTAGCAGAGCCCATCAGTCCTGGCCCACTCACATTCATGTTCTCCTGGAAGGTTCTAGATGGTTTCTCAAGTCCATGCAAGCACTGGCTTCTTTTCTCCTCCATTGGGTAGAGGTTTTCTAGACGGCCCATAGATGGCTGACAGCCCTAGAGGATCCCTGAGTCTGGGCTTGGGTGTTGGAGGGCTGCAGGCACAGCTGTCAGGAAGGTAAACACCTGTCCCTCCTCCTCCTCCTCCTCCTCCCCCCCTCCAAAGTAAGTGCTATGTGGTCACACTAGCTAGTCCTGCATGCTCTAGGACTGTCATATTCTTTCCATGGCCAGGTAGGGTAGGAACAATTAATGTTACTATTTACTGCAGCCCAAAAAGGTTGGGTAGGTTACTCAGGGCCATAAGTTAGGAAGCAGCAGAGGAAGAACATTTATTCAGGTCTGACTGATGTCAGAGACCTGCTCACAGTCACTGGCACCCGCCAGAGCAGCCCAGGAGCACAGTGGTCTCTACCTAGAAGATTTGGCAGCGTCCCACAGGCAACTAAGCGAATGCCCACTTACCCTGTGGGGTAGACCACTGGTTCCCAGACCTGTACATGCACCCGAATCACCTAAAGGATGTATGAAAACCCAGATTGCTGGGCCCATTCCCAGCGCTCCTGACTCTGTAGGTCTCGAGGGTGAAGCTGCTGTCAGTCCCCACGGGCCCCAGACTGCCCGAGGACTGGCTGGGTGGGGTGCGCCTTATTCTGAGCCACTGGCCTCATGATAGCCCTGGGCGCAGTTTTCCAGCAGCGCTCACCCTTTCAAGGTGCCTTGGTCCTCTAGACACACTCCCGGGCCACTGCAGGCTGGGGGGGTCTGGCTGGGTGCTCCTCAAGGCTGGCAGCCCCTGCCCGGTCACCATTCGGCACATGCCGCCAGGGCCCCGTGGCCCAGCCTGAGTGCTCGTGGTGGACGCTGTGCTCGGACTGTGCTGTGGAGGTCTGGGGGCAGCGCCCTTTCAAAGTGGCGTGTGCCGCCTCTCGCACACCCATGTTTTTCATGGCACAAGATACGAGTGACACAAGTAGAGTGAAACACCCCCGTCCGTGCCCCTCCTTCCGCCCCCGCCCCCAGGGGACTGCGGCCACAGCCTGGATACGAGCACCCCCATCCACAGATCATGCGTAGGTATTTTGTTCTGCAACTTCTTTGTTCCCTTAACACAGTATCCCTTTTTTAAGTCCTGACCACATGTACACCGATTTTTATCACATGTGTTATTTTTCATTCTGTCTCCTCACTTAAAACTTCACTGTTGCCATAATTTATCACTATGATAGCCACATAATTTCCCTCCTTTTGATATACATGATCATTCGCTAAACCGTATTTTAGATTATATTTCATGAAACATCTTCGTGTGTGTATCGTTTTGCTTCTATGGAATTGTTTCCTTAGAGATTCATGTCTGAGGTCCACAGCATTGAATCCAAGGGCGTAAACGTTTCTATTGTCCTTCATACCTGGTTCTTTCCTAAGAGGCAGTATCATTTCAATAAGCCACGAAGAAAACTTATTTTGGACGCCACCTCAGCCCGCTGGGCAGACGGCGTGTTCAGAAGAGTGGGGAGGAAGGCCGGGCGCGGTGGCTCACGCCTGTAATCCTAGCTCTCTGGGAGGCCGAGGCGGGTGGATTGCTCAAGGTCAGGAGTTCAAAACCAGCCTGAGCAAGAGCGAGACCCCGTCTCTACTATAAATAGAAAGAAACTAATTGGCCAACTGATACATATAAAAAAAATTAGCCGGGCATGGTGGCGCATGCCTGTAGTCCCAGCTACTCGGGAGGCTGAGACAGAAGGATCGCTCGAGCCCAGGAGTTTGAGGTTGCTGTGAGCTAGGCTGACGCCACGGCACTCACTCTAGCCTGGGCAACAAAGCGAGACTCTGTCTCAAAAAAAAAAAAAAAAAAAAAAGAAGAGTGGGGAGGAGGGATCGTGTGGCGACAACTTGCAGACGTGTGGCGGGTCCTGTTTTTCTTTCTTCTCAGCACGACCAGCTCCACAGCCAGCAGCTGCGACACAGAGTTCACTAAGGAGGACGAGCAGCGGCTGAAGGATTACATCCAGCAGCTCAAGAACGACAGGGCCGCCGTCAAGCTGACCATGCTGGAGCTGGAGAGCATCCACATCGACCCCCTCAGCTACGACGTCAAGCCCCGGGGAGACAGCCAGCGGCTGGACCTGGAAAACGCCGTGCTGATGCAGGAGCTGATGGCCATGAAGGTACGTGCCGGGGTGTCATCAGAAGGATGGCCTCTGAGAGCGGGTCCAGCAGGTGGTGACGGATCGACCTCACCCATGCTCCGTCACCTCCACCCTGTCGAGGAGCCAGAGCCTCGTTTGCAGACGGGGATGGTTTCAGTACGTCTGGGGTTATTTGCACTGGGTATTCCTGGGTGGTGAGTGGAGGATTTCTTGGGGTGTCCCAGCCCAGCTTTGGAGCCTCATCCTTTGAGAGAAGCCAGATCAGACCTCTGCAGGAGGGAGTAAGTCTCTGTCCACCTAAGATGACCCCAATCTCAGGATGCTGGAAAGTGCCCCTGGCTTGCTGCTAATAATGTGAACTTGAGGCTAGGGTAGAACAGGCGAGGCCAGTTGCAGGATCTGGCTGAGAGCACTGGCTTCTGACACCCCGACCCCTTTGGTACAAATTTGAGCCCACTTGGGCATCGTGCCCCCCCAGTGAAGGTTTGCAGGGCTGCTCAGGTCAGCGTTTCCCGATCAGATCCGGAGCAGTTCACCCACTGGTGGAGTTACCTGCCGGCATTTCTGGAGCAGGGGTAGCTTTCTTGGAAAGCCAGTACCGCTCATTGGGAAGTGGTGAAATGCCATCGCTTCGGCGGGACACAGTGCACGTTTCCGGCCAGGGGTGCCAGGCTGCAGCCTCTCTCCTGCTGCCGGCTCTCAGAGGGCAGCTGTGGTGTAGTCATGACTATGTGACTGTGATGTGATTACTTGTCCCTGATTGCTGGCACAAAGCTTCCAAAACCCTTGGAATTTCCCGCATGATAGGAATGTTTTGTTACGCTGATGATGTGACTCATGGTAGGCCCCTTGACAGCTTCAGGATGTGGGCTGGTCACCACAAGGAGGAGCCCATGATGGAGGGTTGGGATTTTCAGCTACCTGACTCCTCCTAGGAAGGGGAGAAGAGACAGAGCTTGAGTGCATCATGTGGCCAATGATTTAATCAATTCTATCTGTTTAGTGAGACCCCAGTAAAAACTCTGACACTCAGAGAAGCTTCCCAGTGGTGAACATATTGAGGCACCAACAGCCTGACTCAACGAGGAGAGGGCACAGGAAGGAGATCTGTGTTCAGGATTCTCTTGGAGCTCACCCTGTGTGTGCTTGTTACAGTAAAACTGTAATTGCTAGTGTAGTGCTTTCCTTGGTTCCACGAGACGTTCTAGGGAATTATCGACCCTGAGAGGGTCGTGGGCTCCCCCACGTTTGCAGGCAGAAGTACAAATGGCCTGGTGTTCGTCCCACTGCAGGCACATGGCTGGCGTTGAAGTGAGAGCAGTCTATGGAGATCTTGGCCTCAGCCTGGGCATGGTCTGTGCTAACTCTGTGTAGTTAGTGTCAGAATTGTGCTGCAGCCCACCCAGCTGGGCTGGAAACAGAATAGTAGCTGGTGGGGATCGTGGACCTGTGTCACTGCAGCCTGCGTCTCGCCAGACCCACAGCAGAGGTGGGAACTCGCCTGGCGCTGCCCCTGCAGGTCCTGGGTCAGCACAGGGCTCCGCTGTCCTGCAGATATGGGAGAATTGTGGGCTGGAAGTCACATTCCCAAACCTGCTTTCCAGATTCGGCTCTCCTGCGGGCAGAGGCCTAACTTGCTCGGCCTTGGATGCTGCCACGCCTCTGGCTCCCAGGAGTGGAAATGTGAGGGAGGTGCTCCCGGGGGTAGAAGGAGGGTCACAAGCAGGAACTGGAGGCAAGTCCAGCAGGCCAGAGTGTGCTGTGGCGGTGCTGAGTTCATAGCTCCTAACCGGTCCCCTCTGTTGGGGTCAATGCTGTCCCCAGAGAAGAACCCTGGTTACAACGTGGAGAGGCGCTGTTGGCAACAGCCGTCCCAGCACACTCAGAGGTGGCTTGTTCAGCACATCCCGTCTGCGGTGGCTGCTGGGGTCTGGGAAGATGCCAGGCAGTGGCAACAGATGCAGGAATCTCACCTCCTTCCCTCAGCCCAGTCGTGTCCAGACGTGCTTATGTTCATCCACCCGCTGAGCTCAGACCCTGACTTCTCTCTCTGGAGCCGCCGCACGTTGCCTTGGCTCTGATTTCTCCTGTCGTTGCTCACAAGCCGGCCTCGGCTCCACGATCACGGTGACTTCCCCCTCAATCGTGAAAGTCACGATTTTGTGGCCCGTCGCACCCTATGCCATGAGCTCCGGGGCTGCCCTTCCGATATTTATTCCAAACGTCATGTTTTCTTTGGCTAAAGACTGAGGTTTTCCTTTTCATATTCTGGCCAGTGTGTGGCATGAATCAATTCAGTGGTATTCCGGCCAGGAAAGACATTTTTGTTGGAATAAAAGCTCTAATATTCCCTTTGCCACTTGAAAATAAAATGTGTACTGATCTCAAACATTTTCTAAAGGAGTAGAAACTGTGAAAAGCTCGGAGGGGAACGATCCATAACCGTGATCCAGGGCGGCCATCGCTGGCATCCGGCTCGGCACCCTTCCTGCAAATCTCTGCACGGCTGAACACGGGAGTCCTCTCCTCTTCCCGCGGGTCCCTCCCGGGCGCTGGGGCTCTGTGCTCGCCCGCCCCACATCCGGTCTCCAGCAGGTCACGCCGCATCGCACCCTGTTGTTCTAGGGTACAACTGCCGAGAAACTCATTTTCTAGATTATTCTCACTTCTTTTACATGATTTTTAGGAAATACATTTTCATTGCTAGGTGATCTCATTGGTTCCGTCCAAATCCACTCTTATTTTTTACTTTCTTTTTCTTTTTTTCTTTTAGACAGAGTCTCTTTCTTGTTGCCCGGGCTAGAGTGCCGTGGCATCAGCCTCGCTCACAGCAACCTCAGACTCCTGGGCTCAAGTGATCCTCCTGCCTCAGCCTCCCTAGTAGCTGGGACTGCAGGCATGTGCCACCATGCCAGGCTAACTTTTTCTATATATTTTTAGTTGGTCAATTAATTTCTTTCTATTTTTAGTAGAGACGGGGTCTTGCGCTTGCTCAGGCTGGTCTCAAACTCCTGAGCTCAAACAATCCGCCCACCTCGGCCTCCTAGAATGCTAGGATTACAGGTGTGAGAGCCACCTCGCCCAGTCCTGTCCTTTCACTATGACTCCTGTGCCTTTATCTGTTTAATTGTTTTAGATCTATGTTTGCTAGTTTTTCACATTGTTGTTTCTGCTTCTTGTATCTGCCGCTTCCAGGTCAGTGCTGTTCCTTTTCGTTTCCTTGGTTCGGGCACAGGGGCGAGAATGCAAGTTCTGGCCCATTTCCGTGGACATTGTTTCCCATGGGGTCCCGCGGATCCCAGGTTGCAGCTGTCCCCTCAGAGTGGCTCTACGGTGTTCAGACCTGCTGGGACCCACGGTGTCCGAGGGTTAAGACTGCTCTTTGTTACATTCTTGGCTGGGGATTCCCGCACCACACCTGCACATGACTCGAGTTTGAGGTTTGACTCCTCAAAAGAGATTTTTTTCCTCCTTTTCCTGCCCAGAGCCTGAGAGATGACAAGTTTCTTAGCCACATCTCCAGAAAGGAAGCTTTCCAGTCTCTCAGTCTTGGCAGTGCGTCAAGAGTCCCAGCTCACGGAAGCCAGGGCCCGGCCCTCGCACAGACGTTACGGCCCAGGGCCCGGGGCTGCAGACCGGCCTGAGGCCCCTGTGAGCCGGCCCCTGTCCGTCTTGCCGGTCCCCTCTGGCGGAGTCCCCTCTCCGCCTCTGGGGCGCCCGTGGACTTATCCTCCCTTCTTTGAAGCATGCAGTTATGTTTGTCCTGGAAGCCACCATCCACATTAGCTCAGTGTTGCCAGAGCCTTCAGAATCCCGCTTGTAATGCAGAAGATGAGAAGCCTTCTGGGTATGGAAACACATTCCATTCTGGTTTTCGTGGCTGAGCTTCAGGAGGAAAAAGGTTTGGTGGGTGTTCTGGGTAGACACTGAGCACACTGACTAATGTCCCCTAGACCTGAGCGTGACAAGCCTGGTGGGTGCCCTCCAGCTATTTCCCCACCGTTTTTTTGTTTTTTTGTTTTTTTGTTTTTTTGTTTTTTGAGACAAGAGTCTTGCTTTGTTGCCCAGGCTACAGTGAGTGCCGTGGCGTCAGCCTAGCTCACAGCAACCTCAAACTCCTGGGCTCAAGCGATCCTCCTGCCTCAGCCTCCCGAGTAGCTGGGACTACAGGCATGCGCCACCATGCCCGGCTAATTGTTTCTATATATATTAGTTGGCCAATTAATTTCTTTCTATTTATAGTAGAGACAGGGTCTCGCTCTTGCTCAGGCTGGTTTCGAACTCCTGACCTGGAGCAATCCGCCCACCTCGGCCTCCCAGAGTGCTAGGATTACAGGCGTGAGCCACTGTGCCCGGCCTATTTCCCCACCTTGGAGGGTGAGCACAGCTAGCCCCATCTGACTCACTCAGGAGAGCCCAGCAGATCCGCGGCCTGTGACCTCAGAGAAGGGTTACCTCAGGGGTGGCCAGAACCAGTGACGTTGGTGAGTCCATCTTAGGTGTGACTCAGCTTTATGAGGAATCCTTTCGAGAAGGGATCACAGAGCTCACTGGGGGCGCCGGGCATGTGGCGGTCCACTCACCCCCGGCAGAGGACAGGAGTCATGTTAGGGCCCATCTTGGAGGGCAAGGGGCAGCAGAGCTTGGTGCCTACAACCCAGGCTCTCAGCTGGACGGCCTGGGTTCACACTCTGGCTCCACAGCTTAACCCGGTGGCCATGAGCAGGTGAACTTCCCTCTGTGGTGCCTCAGTTTCCCATCTGTAAGTGGAGATACTCAGAATACCTCAGGTTGGGAGGCTTAAATGAGATACTTCAGGTGAACACTTAAAACAATGTCACATGTTCAATGAAGGCTGGCGGTTACCATGGTTATCTGGCTTCTGGTACCAGGATGGCGGCATTGTCTTGTGTTGGGTTCACTTCCTGTTCTCCATGGACAGCTCACTTGAGTTCTTTAAGATACTTTTGGAAGCTACCTGACCAGTAGTCACTGTGAGGAACTCTGTGCATACTGACTTGCTTCGGGCACTCCGAGTAGGCGAGACTAGAGGGGGATCCAGCTGTGGGCATCCCCGCCGCCCGGCCCAGCTGCAGGGCCATCAGGGTGGGCAAATAAGTGGCTTGATGCCATCAGACACTGAAATAGGAGTTTGAGGGGATCTAGTCAGACCCGGCTTTCCCTGCGCGGCTAACTGGTTTCCAGCAAGCCAAGCGTGCCCATTCAGAGGGTTCTAGGTACACAGGTTTTCGTTTGGAACCACAACCTGCTCGCCTATAACGTCTACCCATTTGTCTCAGTTCTAGTCTGTAGAGTGACGAAGCACACGGCCTTGTCCACGCGTCAGTCCTTCAGATGTGTGGAGACACCTGCCGGGTCCCCTCCCAGTCATCTTATTCTTAGCACCAGAGTGGTGACTGTCCCACGAGTCTCCGGGTTACGGCCGGGGACCCCCTTCTCGCCCACCCGCTTGGCGGCGGCCAGCCCTGCTCTCAGATCACGGGCGCCTCATACACGCTCCGTGTCCTTTTTGCTCCATAGGAGGAGATGGCCGAGCTGAAGGCCCAGCTCTACCTGCTGGAGAAAGAGAAGAAGGCGCTGGAGCTGAAGCTGAGCACGCGGGAGGCGCAGGAGCAGGCCTACCTGGTGCACATCGAGCACCTCAAGTCCGAGGTGGAGGAGCAGAAGGAGCAGCGGATGCGCTCGCTCAGCTCCACCAGCAGCGGCGGCGGCAAAGACAAACCCAGCAAGGTAGGGCCCGCAGCGGCTCGGGGACACCCTCGGGCCCAGGCCCCTCTTCTGCCTGGTGGCCTCTGGTCACGCCTCGCTGCCCTGCTGCCTCCATTTCTTATACTTGGATAGGAGCTGCAGGTCATCCCTAGGTGTCTAAGAAGAAGGTAACATTTTGAGTGTTACTACAGGTAAAAAAAACAAAAATAGTTTTCGCTTTATGTAATAGTTAAAACATTTTCACCTGTCACAGTCCTATCAGAGGCGCGATCTGTGCAATTGCCTGGTGGTCTGATATAGGCCTCAGCCCCTCCTCCTAAACCCCTTTCACGCAGTGACCCCGTTTGTTGATTTGTACATAGTCCCCTCCCCCAATCCAGGGGGATACGCTCCAAGACCCTCAGTGGATGTCTGAAACCATAGATAATACTGAGCCCTATATATTCCATGTCATTTCCTGTATGTATATACTTATGATTAAGTTTATAAATGAGGCACAGTAAGCAGTTAACAACAATAATTAATAATAAAATAGACCATTATAATAATATGTCAGCTTTACTATTCTGCACTTCGGGGTCGTTATTACGTAAAATAAAGATTATTTGAACACAGCACTATGGTACCGCAACTGTTGATCTGGCAGCCAAGACGGCCACTGAGTGACAAAGGATGGGAAGTGTAGACAGTGTGGCTACACTGGACAAAGGCTCTAGGAGGATGGAGTGAGACAGTGCAAGATTTCGTTATGCAACTCGGAAATAATGCACAATTTGAAACTTAGGAATTGGTATTTTTCTGGAATTTTCCATTTAGTATTTATGGACTATGGCTGACCACGGGCAGCAAACTGCAGAAAGAAAGCTGCAGAGAAGGGGGGGTTCTCCCTTACTAATCAGTACGTCCATTATCTCCCTTCATCTCACACCCCTAGGGAGAGAATTGTTATCCCCACATACATGGGGAAAATGAGGCTCAAAAGAAGTGAGGGTTCTCACAAGTAAGGAATGGCAGAATCGGGATGTGACCCAAATGTGACTAATGAGCTCTCTCCCTTTCCTCTGCGTTGCCCCCTCGCTTCCGTCCCTGGGCAGCTTGTGGGAAGCCACCTGGAGGCCGAGGAGGAGGAAGGCGAGCCTCGGCTTACGAAGCCTGCACCCTCGGAGAGTGGGCCACCTGGGGACATAGTTCTGCAGCTCACACTCCTATCAGCCCCCAGGTCCTTTACGGGTTTTTATGGAATCCAAGTTCATTCCGTTATCCCGTACCTCAGAACTATTCCAAATACAGCATTGGAAGGCAAAAACCCTCTAGACCCTAAAGAATTAGATCCCTAAGGGTACTCTAGATTCTGTGCACCATAGTTTTCTGTTCCAATAAATGCCAGTTTCTCTTGAGCCCAGTTGGTGTCAGACCCAGGACGTGTGGGCATACGCTGACTTGCTGGTTCATTAAGTGGCTTCTCATGGCGCAAGTGCAGGGGCGTCTCAGAGAGAGTGGTGTACCCGGGGAGGAGGGAACAGTGCTGATGCTGTGTGGCAGTGAGCCGTCACTCCCTAAGTAGCTGAGAACTCAGAAGCATCCTTCCCAGATGGCCACGGCCACACCTCCACCACCCCCACCTGCTGAGGAGCAAGCGGGCACAGGGCCGTGGCTCCCAGCCGGGCCAGCCCTCCCGAGACCTCAGCTGCTTTCATCTGTCCACAGCCGATAGCTGGGGTCGGGCACTCACAGCATACCCACATCGAGGTGGCGTGCAGCTCGGTCCAAGGCAGCTCCATGGGGACAGACAACATCTGTCCTCCGGGAATTTACCTTCTAGGGGGAGACAGATGAGCAAACGGACGATCACAGTGCAGTGTGATAGAATGTCCGAGTGCCGCGGGAGGCTACAAGTCGGGCACAGAACTCAGATTTGCAGGACAGGTTTTCTGGAAGAAAAGAACTTCTGAGAATGGGAGCTAGCCTGTTGCACAGGGGCAGGGCAGAGGGCCAGGGAAGGGAAGGGGACACCTCTAGGCCAGTCGGGCAGCACGTGCAAAGGCCCGGAGGGAAGTAGGGGTGGTGTGTTGGCAGGGTTATCTTTGGGACAGCGAGGAATCATGATGAGTCTTTAGCAGGGGGAGATGCAACACAGTTTGGGCTTTAGAGAAGTCACAGTGACAAGTGCACTATGAAACCATTCATGCAAGGCTTGAGGTGGAGTGTGGGGACCAGCCACATGGTGCCATTTCATAGGGTAGCATGTAGGGCTTAGGAAGATTGTTTTCTGTTCCATACAAACACCTTCAAATCTCTCTATTTTTTTTTTTTAATTTTTTTTTTTGCCTTTTGGGCTTGTTAGCAGTCAATTTGGGACAGAGCCTAAGGGACAGAGCAGCAGTGTCTGTGTGTGTTCCCAGGATATGGTGGAAATGGACTTGCCAGGCTCTTGCCAGACGGCCCATGAACTGAGCGTTCTCTAGTTCGTGGTGTTTATTTTGACTGGGAGAAACACTGTGTTTTGTGGAGTGGCTTCAAAAGTACGGAAATTGCTCTGATGGAAAAGGCCAGGTGATTTTTTTTTTTTAACATTACAGTAAGAAGCTTTATAAGAGCAGCCTGTGTTGTTCAGGTAGTGAAATTAGAGTAAGCGGATTAGCTCATCTTTCAAATATTAGATCCATTCACCGCGTGGCTGAAATGTCCTGTCTGGGCTAGTCATTCGGTCTTACCTGTTGGTAGACGAGGCAGATGGTGTGGCTCAGGCGCCACCAGAGAGTCACAGACCCTCCCTGCCCTTGTAGAGTTAACAGCGCAAAAGCAGAGACAGCAGAGACACCAGTGGGCTTCGCTGTGTTCTACTAACACTTTATTTATGGACCCTGAAATTTGAATTTCACATAATTTCCACCTGCACAAAATATTCTTCTTTTGACTTTTTTTTTGTGACTGTAAAAACAGAAATACCATTCTTAGCCTGTGGGTTGTATAAAAACAGGTGGCGGGCCACCTTTGCTCCCTTCGGTAGGTGTTGTTCATGCTTGTTTTAAAAACTTCTCTCCAACCGGCACAACTGGACCCCAAAATCTTACCCAAGTTGCGTTAGGCTTTTGCAGTTCTTGTCTCTACGCACCAGGTGTTACCCGATGTGTGAATGACACACGGCAGTCCCTGTCTTCAAGGAATCTTATGAAATATTAACCTCAAATGGGAATGGATACAAAGGTAGTGACAGATTCCAGGGGCAGCCAGGGGCACTTGGGTCTGTGAGCACAACTGGAGGGGGGAGGGTCTGGGCAGAGGGCACGGTGGAGGGAAGGGTGTGCGGGTGTTGGCAGTGCTGCTGCCGGGGGACCCCCTGGGTGGAACGCGTTTGTGTGTCAGAGTGTGCTCAGGGTCACAGTGTGCCTCTTGTCATCGGGACTCCTAGCACACTGGGTCCGTGCCTCTTTGCAGCTCTCCTCCCATCCTGTCACAGTTTTCTGTTCACATTCCATCTCCTGCAGCAGTTGCAAGCTTGTTAGTCTCCGGCCTGCAGCGTGGCAGAAATTGCTCGTGTCTGTAGAGCAGATGACCAGATGAGTGTGTCCCCACCCCGGCCACATTCCTGTGTGGCGTAGCTGCTGCTCTCTGTCTACACGCAGAGAAAGCAGAGCACTCAAGCAGGCGTGGACGGTGCTTTGCGAGCCGTCTTCACTCTCTTTACGATTTGGGATTCTGGCTCTTGGCTTTCCTCGGCTGTAACGGGAGGACTTGGCTCACGTGATGTCAGGGCGCCTGTCTGACGCTGGTCCGTGGGGGTGGGGTGCACTTCTGTTTCCCTCCTCCTTTCCCGGGTGTCTCAGGGATCACGCCGAACCCAGGAAAGCTCCTGCATCTAGAGACGGCCGGTTTTCTCCCAAGGAGGGGCGGAACGGGGCAACAGGGATAGTCACGTGCATTTCTCACTTGACTTTGTCATTACAAGAGGCTTGACCTATGGTGAAGAGACCGATCTGGAGCCAGGCGGCCTGGGTTTGAGTCCTGGTTCCACCGCGTCTCCTCGCTGCTGAGTGGGCAGCGTAACTTCCGTGTGCCTTGGTTTCCTCCCCGGGGAAATGGGGATAAATGGCACCTCCTGCCCCAGGAGTCCCGGGGCGATGAAATGAGTGAATGCACATGGGGTGCCCAGAGCACACTGGGTGTCTTCGCCACGCCCTGGGCAGCCCGTGAAGGTGGCGGGTATCGGGGAGCAGAGGGCGCTCTCTGGCTCGCTGCCCGGCCTGCCCCGTCACCACCCATGGGCACGAAGCGCGCTGGGCTTCCCATGCCATCGGGCTTGGCCCTGGTCTAATGAGAACGTGTTTGCTGTTGTCAGGAGTGTGCCGAGGTCGCCTCCCCAGCTCTGTCCCTCGCCGAACTGAGGCCGACGTGCAGCGACAGCGAGCTGGCTGCGGAGTTCGCCAACGCCATCCGGCGGTAAGCACCCTTCCCACGCCCGGCCGCTGGTCGGCCCGGCGCCCGCTTCATTCTCCTTCCTCTTGGCCGCTGCGCATGTCACCTCCTCCGGGTCGCCACCGGCCTGCCTGGGAAGGAGGGGGTGCGGGCGTGTCCTACTGTTAGGGACCGACCGTCCACAGCCCCACTGGACAGAAAAGCAGAGACATCGAGGATACAATCACACAAGGGGAGGTTTATTTTCTGGCTAGCCAGGGTCCAAGCCCCAGAGCACCAACGCAGTGGCCACTCTCGCGGGCAAGGACCCCGACTGGTGTGACAGCATGCCTTTTTACCCCCATGGCACACAAGCGGTGCACAAGCCGAGCACGCGTGGATCATGCGTTGACCTTTAAGATGATTGGTTGCCCGCTAGTGCCTGATGGGCCAGTCGCCCGTGCTTCAATGACCTCATCCCATAATTCCCCATACAGCGGCGTAGCAAGCAAGCAATGACCAGAAGCAAAGGTTTGCGGTTAGCTCATTGCCCCACCCAAGTAAATTCCTGACAATTGGAAAAATTCCTCTGTCCTACAAATTCCTCTGCCCTTCCTCTGCCCTACACTACCTTGGCCTGCGCTGGAGGCCAGGAACCGAGAAGCCTGTTTGCGCCAGGCCTTTGGGAAGGAGAGTGAGAGGGGAGAGCACGTAGCCAGTCACTTCATCTGCAAATAAGAACGTGTCTCGGCCAGGCGCGGCGGATTGCTCCAGGTCAGGAGTTCGAAACCAGCCTGAACAAGAGCAAGACCCCGTCTCTACTATAAATAGAAAGAAATTAATTGGCCAACTAATATATATAGAAAAAATTAGCCGGGCATGGTGGTGCATGCCTGTAGTCCCAGCTACTCGGGAGGCTGAGGCAGCAGGATCACTTGAGCCCAGGAGATTGAGGTTGCTGTGAGCTAGGCTGACGCCACAGCACTCTAGCCCGGGCAACAGAGTGAGACTCTGTCAAAAAAAAAAAAAAAAAAAGCTGACGCCACAGCACTCTAGCCCGGGCAACAGAGTGAGACTCTGTCAAAAAAAAAAAAAAAAAAAGAACATGTCTCTTCCTTTCCTTTTTTGTGGTATGTTGTTGCACTGGTTGGAACCTTCCAGACAATGGTAACTAGCAAGGGTGGGAACGGGCACCCTCACCGTGCTCCCAGCGTCAGTGGGAACGTCCGCCCTGTGGGTAGAGTGTGTCTGTTCAGTCCTGGGGGACTTCCCTCTGTCGTCAGTGTTTCTCCCCCTACCCGAGACCCCACCATGCTTTCCCCCTTCCCCAGGGAGAATCGGATGCCGATCCGTCTGGATCGGTCTTCTGTACCCCAACTCTTCCTGCTTTCTGGGGCTCCTTTTGCTCTGGGTTCCAGAGCGGCAGCTCTGTCTGTTAGAAGTGTGATGCGACCCATGTATGTTACTTTAAATTTTCTAATTAGCCACGTGTAAAAAGAAAAAAGAAACAGGTGAAATTCATTTTAATAACATTTAACCCAGTGTATCTAAGTTAATCATTTCAACATGTAATCAATATTTTAAAAACTTATGAGATATTTTATATATATATATATATATATATATATATTTTTTTTTTTTTTTTGGTGCTAAGTTTTCAAACTTGGTATGTATTTGGCACCTGCAGTCCATCTCAAATTCAGACCAGCCGACTGTCTTGCTCAGCAGCCGTGTGGCCAGCGGCTGCCCTGTCAGATCAGTGCAGTTCTAGAAAAATCGATTTTTAGCTCAATTTTCTGGCTCCCTTTATATCCATTGTAGCATTTAGCCTGTGTTGAGTTTTTATTTTTGGTGATGAAATCTATCATCTCTTTTAAAACAATATATCCTCTTGCACCTCTTTAAGGATATTATGCTTAATTCCTTAAATTTTGGGGGGGGGCTGCTGTATCAACTCTCTTTCCTCATGTGTAAATTCTTTTTATGGTTGAGTTTTATGACTCTTCCTTGGTTTTGAATTTCCCTAAATATTTGGTGCTTCTTCTTTTTTGTGTGGTCGTTCTTACACCTTAAACTCCTGGCAGCCAGTGTTTGCTGAGCACAGCCACCGCGAAAATGCAGTCAGGTCCTGTGAAGTCGGGCGTTCAGCAGGTTGTATGAGAAGCTGGTCTTCAAGGCTTCCTGTCCCTCCTGGCTGGTAACAGCCTTCTAGTCTGAGCATCTGTCCCCTGCTGTTCTAATGGCCAACACCTCTGGCTGGAGCACCCTTCTCCTTTTGCAGAGGTTTTTTTTTTTCTGTGTGCATTTTGAGTTAGGGTTTCCTTTTTCAGGAAGAATAAGACATCTGTCTTTCGTTTTTTTATGACTGCTCATGGTTTGTGCTGTACAGAGAGCACGCCCTGCTTTCTCGGATGCTTTTGGGGATTTAAGAAAACGTTTTCCTATCATTTCTGGGGCCTTGGGGTGGGAGGGGAAGGCTGCAGTGGGGTCTCAGGGAGATCACTCGGCCCAGCCCGGCCTCTGTGTGTTGCAGAGCGGCCCCAGGCTGATGGGGGTCGAAGGCTGCCTCGTGGGGGGCCTCACTCCCTTCCAGATTTACTGTCACTTTTTGTCTTTCCTTCCAAGTTGTAATACTTTTTCTCTGCCAGCGCCTCTGGCCGTGTGGTTACATGGTAACTGCTCTGCTTGGGGTGGGAGGAGAGAAGCAGCCCCAAAAAACACCCTCGGCAAATCCTACTGTCTTGACGGTGCCAGAAACACGATGGAAATCCACCCCCTGGCTCCAACTGGGAGCCATGTGGATGTTGCATCTGTAAGCTAAGCCTTTACATTTCTCAGATTCCCCAAACCTCAGAGGCCTTTGCTGGCACAAGCGGGATGGAGGTTGTGCTGACTAAACACAAGGAGATTTCATTTGTTCCGTCAGTCACCGTGGCTTTGCAATCCCCAGCCTTAAGTCGGTTAGCATGGATTTCTAATCAGGACTCAGATGTATGGAGCCAAGAAACAGCCCACAGAGCCAAAGGAAAAAGGGAAATAACATAATTATATTGTAAATATGGCTTAGGAACTGGAATAATCATTTCATGAGGGTAATCTAATGCAGACACCTGAGGGCTGAGGTTTTGGGGATGTTTTTATTTTTAAAAATCGGATGGAAACTAACACCTTCTTTTTGAAGGTATTAAATCTCTGCTAAGCTAGTGGCTAAGGGCAGCTGGGGAAATCTTATCGGTGTTTTCTGCAGTATTCCTCCCTTGAAAAATGGTGGTGTTCCAGGTGCCAGGACTGTGGGCCCAGGCTGCCAGATCAGAGAGAGCAGGTTGCCAAGGGGACAGGGAAGAGGCCAAGCCGTGGTCGTGCTTGAGGAAAGCCAGCCCTCCCGGGGGGGGGGGTGCCCCGTGACACTGCAGTCACTGGTTCTGGGTCGTGGCCCTGTCCCAACCCAGTCTCCTCGTATACCTGGCCGGGCTTCGGCCTCTGTTGGGCCTTGTCCCCCAGCCCTGGCTCTCGCAGTGTGTCTTCTCCTAACTTTCTCCTGCTTGGAACAAAACCAGGGCTCTGTGCCACCCCACACTTGCTGTATAACTCCCATCTGGTTTGATTTCGTTCCCTCCACTTCTGCGAACATTTATTACAGTTTATTGGCTCTGGTATTGCCATAAAACCCCATCTGGATGACCAGGTTTGCAGTCTTGCACATGAGGTGTTTTCTTATTCGGGGCATCTTGGTTCTGCTCTTGTGCACGCAGACTGTGTGCTGCAGATCCCTTCTCCAGCTCAGATCCCTCTCTCGCCCTCGGTCCTGACAAAATGTAACCGAATAATCCCTCCACCAATGAAGTGAATTATAGCGGGGCAGCTAAAGAAAGGGAATTTTCAGAAATGACTCTTCTTCGTACTTCTGTGGGGTTTGTGCGGCCGCCCTCGGGCCCGAGCGAGCACGGTTGAGAGGAACAAGCGGCTCGTCTCGGCTGTGTTCTTGGGAAGCAGCCGGGAGCAGGTGCTGCTCTCGGTGTCACCTGGGGGGGACTGGCACGGCGAGGCTGGGTGGTGTCCCAAGGTCACACGGTGAGGCGGTGGGGACATCGCATGTTTCCACGTTCTCTGTGGGGCCCCCTGCACCCCACATGTGCTGGCAAAGCCTGGTTTGCTTGCAGATGAGTGAGCCGAGCGCTCGCCTGTGAATTTACTGAAGACTGTAGCCGCTGTGGGGTGACCGGTCTGGGCGAAGGGGGAGCTCCGTGCCCCTGGCACACGACTCCCAGTCAGTCTAGCAGCGCTGGGGGCACCCGAGGGGCTGCGGGGGAGGCAGGTGTCCTCCAGGGCACAGAGCTGCGACGCCGGTCACACGCAAGCCACGCTGATGAAAAGGGAAGTATCTGAGCCGGGCGTGGTGGCGCGTGCCTGCAGTCCTAGCTACTCTGGAGGCTGAGGCAGGATGATCACTGGAACCCAGGAGTTTGAATCCAGCTTGGGCAATATAAAAAGACCCCATCTCTAAAAAATATATATTTTTTAAACTGAGGGTCAGTGCTTCCTCAGGCCAGGAGACGGGAAGTAGACTGGAAAAGGTGGCTCGAGACACGGCGAGGGGCAGTGTGTAGTGCCACCACACATGCGTTCCTGTTTCCCTTGGCCTGGAAGCAGGCGGTACCCAGCCCGAGAGAGGGGAGGACCCGGCTCCAGCTGCCACTGGGGACCTGCTCCTGCAGGAGGCTGCTGTCATTTAGACACACGCCCACTAGGGGCTCTGCTGAGCCCCTCGGGGAACTGGGATGTGCCACCTGTGTGCATGTGCCACGCCAGATGGTTCTGTAAAACGCTAGGTCAAGGCGAACGACACATTGCAGCAGCCACTCTGTCCAGTGACAGGATGCGCCTGACTCATCCACCAGAGGAGGGGCGTGCAGATCCCTTTTGTGAGTATCTCTGTGGTGAATGCCAGGCGGGCAAGCCACTGCTGCTTGGAGAGAGGGCCACATGTCAGATCCCGGTAAGGAGACTTCCAGTGCCAGGCGAGCCCTGTTTGACCAGTGTGATCG